GGTGATGCACCAGGAGGGGTTTGCACCCCCTCTGTCGGTCCCCTGCCTGGGGCTGGCAGCTGCCTCCTCCTGGCTGCTGTTAGCCCAGGTGCTGCCAGCAAACACAGCACCCGCAGGCGCTTCCCCCTGGTTGTGTCAACTCCTCGTGACGCAAAGCAGCTGCGAGAAGACACAGGTTGTCACAAATGCTGACTCTCCAAAACATGGTGTGCTCACACCCCGCAGCTGGAGCTCCAAACCTTGCCCACATCCTGCAGCGCAGGGGTCAGCGCGCTGCAAAGCCAAGTCAAGGCCACCTCAGCTGGGTCCCTGCCAGCCCAGTGCCCTGTGCCAGGCAGCTGCTCTTGCACCCATGGGTGAAGCACCTGCACCAGCAGCTCCAGCACCTACTCCCACCACCTTCCTGGGGACTGGCAGGATTTGTGGGAAGTCATCAAGTCATCTGGCGCTTTCCTTTTCCTTCCACTGCTTCTCCTCACCATCACTGCTGCCATTCCATCTCCTTGGTGCCTTCCCCGAGCATTGTGCTTGTCCCACTCTTGGGTGAGCCACAAAGAGCATCTTTACTCTGAGAACATGGCCGTGCAGCCTGGGAGGTTTTGATGTCCCTCCGTGCATCGCAGAGAAGGGGGCACTCACCCACACAGGGGGTACAGCCTGCAGCTCTGCAGAGAAGACGTGACCTGGGAGCTGCTTGTCACAGCACTGTGGCCAACCGTCCTGCAACACAACCTGCTGTGTTGCAAAATCCATGCTACCAGTTCTGCCCCATCCTGGCAAAAAAAAAAAAAAAAAAAAAAGGGCAATAATGACAAACTGCAAATAAATTACTTGCATCCATACCACTTAAATGCCTACAATAACAGTACATGAATTACTGATGCAGTAAAGAGTATGTTGGGTTTTTTTAATGGCATAGCAATTTTGTAGACAGAAATAATCTGCATGAGTCAGTAAAAAAAAAAAAAAAAAAAGAAAGGGCAATAATGACAAATGACATCATGAAATTTGAAATGGGGCATGATTCAGCCGTCGGGGAGTGCGGCTCACCTGGGACTGACGCCAGATCACACCCCTTTCCTCGGGGTATGTGGGTAAGTGATGAGAGCAACGCAAATGGGAGAGGTTTGTAAACCCGAAGTGATACAGGAGAGCTGTGGGCTGCTGTGGATTTTGGCACCAGCTCGCTTGGATGTGTGTGGGAAAGACCAGCAGAAGCACTAAAGCTGGTTGCTGCGTTGGGTGAAGATGGCTGGTGTGTTACTTGGGTGACACCAGAGGCAGCAGGGAGCAGCCGGAGGTAAACCAGAGTTCAGGCAGCAGATTGGAAAGAGGAGCCCAAAGCCGTGCGGCTCCATCACTGCAACGGGCCGGCTGAAGGTGCACAAGGGGTTGCTTGTGCAATTAATTAAAAAAGTACCGAAGCTCCAGGCTGGAAACGTGGCATTCCCTGGGTAAAGGGCTGGCACGAGCACTGCTGCAGGCAGGCTGCCTGCGCTTCAGAGCAGTGTAACGCCACGCAGCCAGCTCAGGAGTTGTGCCTGATTTAAAAAAAAACATATGCATGAGCTGGAAGAGCAGGTGAAGAAGACGCTCCTCAGGCTGAGCTCGTCCATACCCCCACCACTGTCTTCTCCAGCACGCAGGAATCACTCCTGGCCTCCTCTTGGCTGCTGGAGGTGTTTGGACAGGAGACTGGGAGCTTCCCCACACGCACCCAGGAAGGAGGGGTGAACCCAGGCTTGTTACGGATCAGGGCAAAACAACAAGCGTGCCCACATGGCAACCCTTTGTCCAGCCACAGGTAATGAAAACTTAAATCAAAACTTGAGACTATCTAATCTTATTTGCAAGCTGCTGTGTCCTGGACGTGGTTGCTCCTTCAGCCTTCAGCAACCATGTTGCAAAGAAGCGTAGTTAATTTCAGGTTTTATTTTTAGCATCAGATCTGCACCTTTGGGCCCCTCACCCCGCTCTGCCGAGCTGACACACTGTCTGTAGCAGTGCTCTGTTCTCCACATCAGCAAGGAGACCTTCTCCTGGGTCAGCAAAGTAGCCCATGCTCCTCACATCTGTCACAGCTTCATTCATCACATTTCCAAGCCTCAGCTCCTTTTTCACAGTGGTGCTGCTGCTCCTTAGGCTTTCTGTGTCCATGTTGAAGTTTGGAGCACTGGAGTGGACATCAAGTTGGCTTTGCCTGAGCTGCAGGATGGCACAAGCCCTGCTGTGTGTCTGCTCAGAAATCCCCTCCATGCGCCTCTGGCTCTCTCGGAGCCAAGGCGCTTCAATGCAGGCTCACAGCAGCAGTCCTGTGTGGAGACAGCATGCCTTTTTTTTGGCTTTTTTTCCTTAATTCCCTCCCCACACACACCTGCTTTCTGGGAGCTCCTCCACCCTGCAGCACAGTCTGTCCTCTCTGTACCCACATACCTTCCTTTGCAGCCCATCACTGCGCCGTGGGCTGTGATGGTTTTATCAGGCCATCGCGCTGTACCAGCGAACAGCCTGTTCGGTATTTTATCAGCCACAAACGTAAGCTTTCACCTCGTCACCTAGACAGTTGATTTTAAAAACTATTAAATGGCACTGGACGGGGAAACAGTCACTGGGTGTCTTAGGTATGCTCCCCGTTGTTGATGTGTCCCCATTAAGACTTGGCTCACTGACAGACTTCAAAACAAAGCTATTAACGCGCGTAGTTGTTAATCTATTGTGAGCCTTATTAATTTTTTATAATACATACTTTTAATTAAAGTCCTGTGTTGTTGGTGGTGGCAGGGTAGAAGCTGAAGTGTGCTGTGGGGATGCTCCTGCTCTTACCGGCCAGACCTTTCCTTTGCCCAGGGAGGAGTTTCCCTGCAAGGTCCATGCTGTGAAACGCGCCCCCAGGACACCCTTGGCTGTGCTTTCACCTCCCCAGCAGCAGTCTGGGGCTCTCTGCCATTTCTCTGCACATTGCTTTGGCTCCCACCAGCCCAGTAGTTGTTAAATTAACAGGTGTTTAGGAGAGCCCATGATTACATCATCAAAATGTTGTTTGTGAGCTACCTGGGCCCGTGGCATGAATGTGGCTGGTTTGGGGAGCTGCAGCCTCTCCTTGTGCCGCTGCTGGGTCAAATTCCCTCCCCTCTGTGACAGCACGTGAGATGGGGTCACTCCTAACATGACTCTTTGAGAGGAGGCAGTGGCTGGACCGGATCTGCCAGCCCTGCCGGCCTCTTTCGGCTGTTTTTATGGCACAAAAGGGGACGGGGTGATGCCTGGCTGGAGGGCTTGGGATGAGCCCATCAGGGTTCATGCCCACTGCAGCTCTAACCGACTCTGAAATTCAGGTTTGTTCAGCAGTTGTCTCAGAAGCCTAAGGGCAGCAATCCAGTTGTGTGCTCCCAGCTCTGGAGAGGCAGCGTGGGCATGGCTGGAGCTGGGCTCCTTCCACATTCCTACCGCACCAGTGCAAGGAAGCACACTGTGATATCTAATGGTGGTGTGTGGGCTGGGAAAGGGTCCCTGTTTTTCTCCCATGTCTCAGGTGTGCTTCATTGAGGGAGAAAGCAAGCCCTTTGGATGGTAAGTATACAAAGACCATTGGAGATGGTGTCTTTAAGGGACAGAATTAAAGATGGAAACTCCGCCCAGTTTATTATTTTTGAGAGACTGTTTTCATGGTGAGCAGCCCAGTAACTAGGCAGTGCACCAGATTCTTCAGCGACTGCTGTCACTGAGAGCAGGTTGGGAGAAATGTCAAGAGGCATTGCGAAATATTTCCCATCACACCCAAACCAGCCTGAGTGCCGGCGGGCACCACTCGGTTCTGTGTTCTCCTCTGTTTCACGGCACAGTCACCTACTGAGAAACAGGACATCTGCTCCTGGAGAGCTCACTGGGGTTCAGCACACCTTGGTCCCACCTGCCTGTCTCAGCTTCCTAAGATCCCCAGAAAATGGTACTCCCCTCTCCCCTGCAGTGGGGTCTGTGTCCGGCCCTGGATGGGCAACCTGCACCTGCGGGAACATGCTGGGAAAAGGAGGTGCTGGCTGCCCGGGTAAAACAGATACTGCCAGAGGGAAATCCCACTGGATTCTCCCTGCAGATGGTCTCTTGGCACACTGTGGACCTGCGGTCACGGCATCCACGTTGTTCCTACTGTGGGTGCAAGACACCTTTGCAGACTGGTCTGGGATGCTGCTGGAGAGGCAGCCATGACATCCGTGATCCCGGGACGGGGAGTGGGTGAGGGAGGTGTGTGGGAGTGGAGGTGCCCCCCACCACTGAGCTCCACACATCAGGGTCCTGGATGTGCAGCTGAGCCGTTGCATTGCGCAGCCCACGCAGCCCTGACCTGCCAGCGGCGGGTCTGGAAAAGATTTAGGACAATCCTGCCTGAATGCTTAGCCTGATGCTCTGGCAGAGAGGACCAACGCAACCCTTTGAGACAGAGAATAGGGAAAGGCAGATTTAATCCCTGTGTCAAAGCATTAGGGAGGCTCATTGTGGGATTCTACGTCTTGAAAAGGATTAAGGAAAATCAGAGAGGCTGTGTAGAGCAGAAATGCAAAAAATGGCTTGAGGGTGGGAGGAAAAGCCTGGCAGTAAGAGAATTAAGAGACTGGGTATATTTAGCTTATCAGAAAGATGGATGAGAGGGGGGTTGCTTGCAGCATATGTGTAGTGTCACAAAGAGAAAATGCCAAGCTCTGAAAGGCTCTTTAATCAAGCAGAAGGCAGAACAAAATGGTATGTCTGCAAGCTGAAGCCAGACACAGGGATGTGGGATGCTCTTCTGAACGTGAGGGTGAGGGACTCCTGAGACAGACCCAGAAGGGTGGGAGTCTCCAACGTTTGTCTTCAAATCCAGCCCACCTCCTTTCTTGGGAAATATGCGTGAACCAAACATAGCGTATGGGAATTAATGCGAGGAGATGAACGGCTGAGTGGCGTGCTGGCCGGCTGCTCGCACTCCTACCACCGCGTGTCAGGCAGGACCATCGGATCATTGCAGCTGAGGAAGACCTTGGGAAAAGTGGTGTGGTCAGGCAGCACGCTCGAGGAGCCATTCGGGCAGGCTCCAGGTGTTCACCTGCGCCCGTAGTGGTAAGTGTGGCTCTTTGCTGTTGAATACGTGTGGAGGGTGGCAGAATTTCTCAGCCAAGTTCAGCTTGTTTTCTGTGGGACTGCTGACAATGCTGTTCAGCATTTCTGTTCTTAGAATAGCCAGAAATCTAAAATGCTGTCCACAGACTCATCACGCTCAGACCCTGTGTTTAAGAATAGTATGTAGTGAGTGTGTGAGATGAAGCAAGTTTGGCCGGAGAGACAAAGACAATATATGAGTGTCTTACAGTTCAGATTGCATTCCCTGAGCCTGTGCATCAGCAGAGGTAATCTCTGTCTAGCCTTTAGTGGAAAGAGATCTTTGCTGTGGCATTTAGTGGCATTCAATTAATAATAAAATACTATGTTAATTAGTATCAGGTCTGATTTGATGACACGTAATTTGGGAGGAAGGATTACAGTGTGAGTATTAGAATGAGAATTTTTGTAGGGCAGAGAGTCAAGATGAGATTAGCAGTCTCGCTACAGAGGGAGCCCGGAGGCTGACGTGTGCGTGTTTGGCAGCCGACACAGATAGTTACAGCACAACTTTATTTACCAATGGGAAAAGAACCTGTAGCTGTTATTTAATCTTTACGTGTCACCCCATATAATGTTCAGCTCAGCCACCATGAAAGAAAAAAGCAAGCAGGCATCATTTCCGTGGGAACGCCCTGTGGATCTCAGCACCACGTGCGATGTGAGTTTGCAGAACAATTTTGGCACGCCCCAGGAGGGCTCCTTCCAGAGGAAGCGAAGCAGGAAGCTTCACTGATGGTCACCCCCGTGTGCCCAAACCCTGCCAGGGACGTGGGTGCTTGAACCAATGCCAGGCCCCTGGCACAGCTTTGAGCCAGGAGCACTGTATGTGCCAAGGACACTGGGTTATATCTAGTCCAACATGAGCCCCCCAGAGCAGCGTGCAGGTTTGATGCAGAGAGACGAGGTGCAGGACCTCTCACCGCCTGCTGTGGGCACTGACCATCCTGAGTTACCAGATAATGCAGCCACTAGCCATGCCCTCTGCCAGAGCCTTCTTTTTCCAGCCCGTGGCCAGCGTTGCTGCGGGAAATGCTCTGCAGGCACGTGGGCAGCCACGGGCACTGCCCCAAGGCTCAGCAGGTCGACCACAAGTGGGTTATTGTGGAGCAGGATGGGCTGCAGCTCTTGCCCTTTCATTTGGTCAGTTTGGCTTTGTAAAGCTCCAGAGCATTCTGGAAAGCGGCACGGCAATATGATAGGATTTAATCAGACTTAATTATTCCCCTGCTGTCGATCTCCTAGCAACATCCAGCTTGACATCTGCCTGCAAATGAAACATGTAAGCTAAGTAGGAACATGTTCAGACTAAAGCCCTGCTACTCCAACCAAATCACTCCACTAATCATTGCCTTAATTCATCTCGTGGCCGTTAGACAGCTGCCGGGAGCTGGTACCTGATTTCCATCGATGCATGGCACTCACCTCCGGAGTTTTTTCCAGCCTGGCAAGAAGCGTGACTTCATCCTGGGCTCTTTCCAGCTTGCCGACACCTGATAACGGCCGGTAGAGTTTCCCAAGTGACAAAGGCGGGCTCAGGAGCAAGCCCTAACCTTGTCGTTATCTGGCTTCACGCTGTAGGTCCCGCTTATCTCATCAGCAAAATCAGATCACCTGCTGTGCCTACAGACCGTGGGGTTTAAACTCTGAAAGCACAGGCATTAGAACCAGGGCAGTTTAGGTGAGGTTTAGAGGACAGTCAGAGCAGACGTGGCACGGTGGGGGCAGGCAGCTCCATGTCCCTGGGGGTCGAGGCAGGGCAGAGCAGACCTGGCTTATGGAGCTGGAGGGATGAAGATGGGAAGAGAGGAGCAGAAGTGTCTGTAAAGCAAAGCTGAGCTCCATTCAGACGTGATGGGGGCAGGAGTTGGTGGGGTTATTGGAGGAAATGAGCCTGGTGGCTGAGTGGGAGCTGGTGAAGGAGGCTGCCCAGCCCAGCTCTGGCCACCAGTCCACCATGAAGCCAGAGCAAAGAGAGCCAGGTGAGAGCGACCAGCATGCCCAGTGGGTCAGCCTTGGGGAGCAGGGGGTGGGTCTGGGCAATGGTGGAGCGGGCAGACCTTCAGATGGATGGGGCTGGGTCGTTGTGGTCGTGGCCCCTCTCCATGCACCTCCTCAGGGGATGATGGTGCCAATGACACCTGGGTGTTGGCACAAGTCTGTTTGGCTCCTGCGCTGTGTCTAGAAGTTGTTATTGGAATAAAAAACTCCCAGCTGGATGCCAGTGCAGCACGTGTCTCTGCAGAGGAGCACAGGGGATCTACGAACCTGGCTGCGTGGGTGCAGCACATGCAGCCAGCTCGCACTGACTTCACTCCTGCTGAGCACAAAGTGGGGTTTCTGGCTGCAAAGGGGGAGCTGTATCAGCCCCTGCCAGCTCTTCCTGCGACCTGCGTGGGCTCTGTGCCCGGGAGCATGCTGGGCAGTGCTCAGCCAGCCCTGTGCTGTGCGAGGCGGTGTGTGCCGGTCGGTATCGGCACTCGGCATCGCTGGCAGCGGGAACGGCCACCACGCTGGACACGATCCCACTTAAACCTTAAACTCATGTGGCTATTTGTTCTCCTTGTGTTATCAGTGACTCATGGAGAGTGGAAACAGGAAATTACTGGGCTCCTTTACTGTCCTGAAGATGCCGGTTTATTCCTTTCGGTCTTTTTCCTTTCAGGTGACGTTTGCTCCCTGTGCCTAATAATTTCCCCGACTGTTTATCATCTCCTCCCTGTGCTGCCTTATATTTGTGTTTCTCACTTGTCCTGTGCCTAACAAGTGTTAGGGGTACCCAGCAAGGCTGTGGGGCCAGCGGCGAGGAGGGCGATGCCATGGGAAGGGTGAGGTGCGGGCTGGCAGCTGTGAAGAGAGGTGGTGGAGGCTGTGACCTACTGGTAACCGCATGGAAGCGATGCTGGCTGTGCAGTGTGAGCGTGTTGTGCTGTGGGAGGGCAGCTGGGGTGGGCTGTACCACCCAGCGTGGTCCAGTGGTGGAGGCTGTGCAGCACTGGGAAGCCCGGGGAGGTGGTGCAGTGCTGTGCAGTGGCTGGGCAGGACCTTGTTGGGTATGGTGTGGTGTGAGGATCTGCAGAAGTTGGGGGACAGCGTGAAGGGTCAGTGACTGCGTGCTAACCTGGACAGCGTGGCACGGTTAGGTGCAGTGTGGGGCAGTGACTGGGTTGGGCTGCTCTGTGTGGTGCCTGTAGGTTAGACCGGGCAGAGCAGAGCAGTGGTTAGAGACTGTTCTGAGCAGTGCTTGGAGGCTGGGCAGTGACTAGAGGTGAGGCCATGGAGTGTTCGCTGTTGGGATGCTGGATGGGAGGCTGGGGGAGTCCAGTGTTGTGGCTGCAGTGACTGCAAGATCTGGAGGTGTCTCAGCTGGAGGAAGGCGCAGTGCTGTGCAGTGCTGTGCAGTACAGTGCTGCAGCTGGAGCCATGAGACAACACGGAGCTTGACAGGCACTGCAGCGCCTGGAGGAAGGGATGGCGTCGTGGAGCACCTGAAGGCACTGCAGTGGTTTGGAGGTGCCCATGAGTGACAGGAAGCACTGCTGCAACCTGAAGGAGCAAAGTCAGGCATGACTAGGGAAGAGCGGAGAAGCACCACCCTATAGCCACTGGAAGTGGGGGGTGTGTGCAGTGCAGTGGTGGAAGAGAGCAGTGCCGTGCAGTGACAGGGGAAGGGGAGCAGTGCAGTGCCAGTGAAAGGAGAGGGGATCAGAGTGGTGCAGTGACATGAGAAGGCAAGTGGTGCAGTGACACAAGAAGGTGAGCAGTGCAGTGCGGTGCCAGTGATGGGAGGGGGGACCAAAGCAATGCAGTAACAGGGGAGGGGGACCAATGCAGTTCAGTGCCAGTGATGGGAGGGGGGATCAGAGCAGTACACGAGAAGGCAAGCCATCCAGTGCAGTGCCAGTGCCAGTGATGGGAGGGGAGATCAGAGCAGTGCAGTGCTGGGGGAGAGGGACCAGTGCAGTGCCAGTGATGGGAGGAGGGACCAAAGCTGTGCAGTGACACGAGAGGGCAAGCCGTCCAGTGCAGTGCCAGTGATGGGAGGGGGATCAGAGCGGTGCGGTGCCAGGGCAGGGGGACCGGTGCAGTGCCAGTGGTGGGAGGGTGACCACCCCAGCCCTGCCTCCGGTGCCGTCGGGGCCGG